TAGATCATCTTATATTCCCACCAGCAAAAACAAGTCCAACCTGTTCAGCCCTTATATGTTCTTTTTTTTTTTAACTCTTGGAAATTGGTAGTATGGCAAATACTGTTTGCAAATGTCAGAAGTCTGACAATAAACTTTCTGAGTTCTTTGTATAAACTCAGGGCTGAGGAAGTCCTGGTGAAGTCATTTCTAGACCTAAAAAATAAATAAATCCTGAGCTGTTTGCTCTGGCTATGTAAACACTTTGTTCAGGTCTCTTTATCTTTAGTCTTGTTAATTACCAGATTTCTTTTTCAACAGTTATTATATTAATGGAGTTTTGTATACTTTCTACCCATCTTTTTAAGGAATATATGTTACAATAAAAACTGTCCATATTTTAATGAATTTTGCTTAGGAGCAGTACTTAAAAATATGGTAAAAGATGGTTAAAAAGTGTTATTGTCATAACAGATATCTGCTGTGTTTTCACTGTGTTGAAAGGTTTATTGAAGCCAAAATGAGTATGACAATGCCCACACATCCCCATCTGACAGTAGAATGAAAACGCCACACACATTCAGCCCCTGTTTGGATTCAGTAATCCAAACTAATTTCTCTGCACTATTGTTAAGCATTTTAAAGGAGGAAAACTATGTTTTAAGAACCCATCTTTTCCCCCTTTGAAATGCTAACAACAGCAAGCGGAGCCTAGTTTTGATTAGTGAAACCAAATGGGAGTTGAATACATTCCTTTTCTCTTCCCCATATAGTTCTGATCCAAATTGAGCATACACATGCAATTTAACTTTTAAAGATAGATGGAGATCTATGATCTATGATCATTGTATGTTTCTTCTGGCTGCCATTGGCCAGGAAGCCCAATATACAGAGTGGAACTTCCATAAACAGAAGCAGCATATCTTTAATTAGCAGATGCCAAAGACACCCCCTTGGAGTGTTCTTCTCTGCACGAGAGCCTCCTGGATATAGCTGCCTAGGTGGTCAAAACAATACTGGAATAGATGGAAATAATCTAGCAAGGTAATTCTAATATTCCTGATATTCACACTTGTATAACTAATGGGTATATACTATGGGAATCAGCTGTAATGTAAGCTTCAGGATATTAGTAAAATGAAATTATGAGGGAGGCATGAAAAATCCACATAGTACAGCTATGACAGAGCCCCGTTCACTCCCCTCCCTTAGAGGCAAGATTTTCCCTCCATTTTTCTTTTGTGTACCTTGGATGGGAGACCACCAAGGAAGTGGTCTGTTAGTTTGTATTCTTTTCTTTAAAGTAGCTTTGGCAGTCCCACCCAGTGTCAGTAAAATGTAATGACTAGTTTCTCAGTCCAGGGAGGCTTAGGGTCTCCCTTTAACTTAAATGACACTTTTAAAAATACAAAAATAACAGGTTTTATTTAATGTCAAAGGAAAAGGTTAGGTGAAGTCAGGGGTTGAAAATACTGAGGTAAAATAGTATAAGCACAAATTCTTATTCTTATAGATCAGGCTAATGAAAGTTTCTTGAGTTAGTCATAGTTTCTATAGTTCTTTATTTTGTGAGGCTTTTGTTCCTGAGTTTTCCAAACCACTGCAGTTCACTTTATTTGTGTAACAGCAGACTCTTGTGCTGCCCAGGAGGCTGCTACCCTCTTCCCAGTACCCAAATCCCTTCTCTTGGAACACCAGAATTCTTCTTGAGCAGTTGACTGACTTTCACAGTCTCCACAAGCAATATCCAATCACAATAGATCAGGGAACCTCTACTCAGAGATACCGTTCCCTGTTTGACTGGGTAGGGATGCTTCTTCTCTCCCTAGAAGATCTGTCCCCTCTTCCTTTGGCCTGAATGGGAGACTTCTTATGCTACCCAAACCTCCTTGTCAAACTTTTCCCCAGTTCACTGTCTGTGTTCAAACTGCTCTCTGCTAATGCTGAATTAAGACTATATTCAGTCACAGATTAATTTTGACTTTGTCAGCACTAAACCCTTGTCTGTCGGGGCTAGTATAAGACAGTCTCCATACATGGCTTGTCACAGTTAAAGCTGGAATCTGAATCAGTTTTCTCAGCATCCAGCTCTCACGAGACTTTCTTTGCTCAGCTGATGCCAATCAATCAGATTGCCTGGAGCAAAAGGCTCTCTGGCTCTATGAAGTATTCATAGTCCTGTAGTTTTATGTACAGCACTTTTAAGCGTCTTCAAAAAGTGGAGTCCGTCACAACAGCTTCTTGGGATCCATAGCTGGAGGAGAGATCCCATGATCTGATTATTGGTTCCAGTTAGTATAGTATTGGGATCAATGAGGTTGTCAGATAGGTTGTCAGATATCAGTACTGGACTTGGAAAGCTTAATTTACCTCCACCAGGGGTCATTTCATAGAAAAAGAGCTAGGGGGACTCATTAGCATAACTCATTAGCATATGCCACACCCCCTGACATCAGGGGCCCGGCGGTGGACCTGCAAGGCCAGCGGGAGTGTGAGGAAGCCCCGCTAAGGCCCTCCCTGGCCCCAGGCAGGGGTGGAGAGAGGCGGGGAGGAAGCAACTTACCCTCCCTCTTCTCCTGCCTCCTCCTGACTGAATGAGGGCCAGAAGCGGGGCGGCCGGAAGCAGGCGGGGCTTCGTCATATGCCCCACCCCCTGCACCTCACCCGGGGGAACTGCGTTCCCCCGCGTTCCCCCCCGAAATGACCTCTGACCTCCACCATCAAAACCTGTATATATGTATGTATATGCCGTCAAGTTGCAAGCAATTTATCGCAAGCCCAGCAAGGGGCTTTCAGGGCAAACGAGAAGCAGAGGTGGTTTGCCAGTGCCTTCCCCTGCAGACTCTTTCTTGGTGGAAGACTTCACATGCAAGTTCAGACCCTGCTTAGCTTCTGAGTTCCAAGGAGACTAGGCTGTACCATACAGTCTCACATCCCATTACAACACAGGAGCTACATATTGCTCTTATAGCTTTGTTCAAACAGCCCCCAAATATGAGACATCTTTTAAGCAGAAGCAGCCTTGTTAAGATAAATGTGAATTGCGCAAGCATGCAGAAGCTACTTCCCATGATCTCTCAACTGTCAAAAGGCACGAGCCTCGCTGTGCTGTCCTGTAAGTGCAAACCTCAAGCTGTGATTAAGGATGACGGGAGCATGTGAGTTTCAGTCCTTTGCTATCTGTACATCTGAACTTCAACAGAATGATTTTAAAGAGATGCGGCAGTCAATGGATACGCATAGAACTAAGCTACTGTGGCGCCTCAGCAAGGGTACCTTGTCACCCCCATGTCTCCCTGGCGCCCCCCACCTCTCACCCCTGCCTCTGCCCCAGCCCCTTCCCTGCTCACCACCCCCGTTCTGCCACCTGTCTCCTTCCCAGCTGATCCCCAAGAACCCTCCTCCTCTCCTTGTTCCACAGACAGCACAGCATGCTGCACATGCCCTGGTTCTATGACGCTCAAGATGGAATTCTGTTGAGGAGAGGCTTCAGAATGGCTGTTGGACAGTGTTCTCTGTATCCTCATAGCCCTTTATTTAAAACATTATTTGTGCTTCTGTTTGTTGAAAATATGTATGCTCCACTTTTTGAACAAGCACTTAAAGCAGTTTCTAGAGATACAGATAAAACCATATAGTAAAAAGCCCAATAGCACCTTTAATACTAACGGACTTTATTGTAACTTAAGCTCTTCAGAAACACAGCTCTCTTCGTCAGATCCATAAACATTAAAACCAACAACAATAGATGAAAACTATCAGCTAGGATTGCCTGGCCACCAGTGGGGGATAGGGTGGTAGGGTGGTCGCTAGATCCAGGCTGGGAAATGCCTGAAGATTTGAGGAGGGCAGGGGCCAAAGTGGGGTACAATGCCCTGGAGTACAACCTCCAAAGCATCAATTTCCCCCCAGTCTGAGCAGTCTGGAGATGAGTTGTAATTCCAAGGGATCCCCAGGCCCCACCTGGATGCTGGCATCCCCACAAACAGTACAGCAGTAAATCAGTTCTAAGGGCCCTTGTAAGTAATTCAGCCTTGCATCTTTTTTCTGAAGATTGCCAGAGATGACACTTGCAAAATTTCTATTGCACCATTCCTTTCCACACCCCCAAAATGTCTGTAGGCAGGGTCCGTTTACATCCCCTTTCTCCTCGGATTAGAAATCTTAGGCGTATGCAGTTTTAAAGCTAAGCTAGAAGTTTGGTAGCTGTCCCTGATCTGGGAAAATAGGTTACCATTACTACTGGAAACTGAATTCTGTTTGTATGAGGGTGCATGCATGTGGGTATGTCACACAGGCAGGGCTCTTTTTGTAGAAAAAGTCCAGCAGGAACTCATTAGCATAATAGGCCACACCCAACAGCAAGAACTCATTAGCATATTGGGCCACACCCCTGACAGCACAGCTCATTAGCACATTAGGCCGCACCCCCATGTTACCAGAAGTGTGGTTATCCAGCCACACCCACCTTTTGCTTGTTATTCTGTTTACCTTGTTTGTTGTCAAAACCCACGGCTTTTTTGTAGCAGGAACTCCTTTGCATGTTAGGCCACACACCCCTAATGTAGCCAATCCTAATGAGTTTCTGCTGTTGGGTGTGGTCTATTATGCTAATGAGTTCCTGCTGGGCATGGCCAACTTGGAAGCCAGCCGGAACTCCGTTCCTGTGCGTTCCTGCCCAAAAATAGCCCTGCACACAGGACAGGTTGCTTTAAATTATCATCACAGTGTACAGCTTTTTAACATGTTTTCTGTGCTACCTGAACACAAGGTAGACATCAGTTGGCATCTACATCATGTAAATAGGAGATCTGCAAACAGAGGCCAGTTTACATTATCATCTTCCTCCTGGTACTCCCACTGACATTAGTAGAATTATTCTGAAGTTAACGGGGCCAAGAACTTTTGATGTGTCAAAAAAGGCACATTTCTTGTTGCTCATACACAGCAAACAGTTAGCTGGAGCGGTTTTTGTAAGTAAAACTGCTGCATATCTGACCTTACCTACTTTCTCCCTGTAGAATACCGTTGCTAAAGCTGCTGTTAAAGAACTAGCTACTGTGCATGGCACACAGTACACATATGGCCCCGGAGCCACAACTATCTGTAAGTATTACTCTAAAGTTCAGACATAACTGTAATTCAACATCACTAAGGTCACATCTGTACCCTCCATACTGCAGGTTCCCTGAATCAGCGCTTTAGCACTAAACAAAAAAGGGCTGGATTTCTTATGTTAAAATCACTTTTTTGCTTGTGAATGTTGCATTCTTCTGACAGTCCCTCTCATCCCACCCACCCCATCTCAGCATCAGGCATCAAATGTGCTCAACAAGTACATATCATAACCCAAAGTTTCCCCAAAGAGAGAAGGTACCTTTACTTTTCATATCATTCATTCTTTACTAAAAATGCAAAGCTCTGCAGATGCACCAGGCTATGCAACAGATAAGCAAGATGCTGACTTGCTGTTGCTCAGTCATACTAGTCTTGATTTCAGGGCCTAGATAGATGTTGCAAAGTCCTTGGGATGTGTCCAGGTCCTCCATGAGGGCTTTCCATTAGACAGAAGTTGTGAGGTCCCTACCAGGGAGGGACCACCTGATTCAGTTCATGATGGTCCTTATGCCTCCCACACACATGTGTGTGTGCCACTTCCCTAATCTGAAACAGCCCCGTCGGTAGGTTCCCATGTCCTACCTGGCTGCCAGTGGGGGGGACTCCTGATCTTTCCTGGAGTTGTTCTAGAGTTTTGCCCAAAACCTAGAGCATCGCCCCAGATGTTGGAAATGCAATGACATCACTCCTGAGTGATGTCATCACACTGGTGCCAATGGCGCCGGGAGGGAGCTTCTTAGGGGTGGGCCTTCCTCTGCCAGCCAGCTGGGCTGCGGCAGATTGGGGACCCTGAAATTGGGGGATCCCCTGGCCCCACCAGGGGAATAGCAACCCTACCTCTGGGTGCTATTTGTCTCACTGCAGGCTCCCAAATGGGGCAGATAGCACAGTCAAGGGCCTACTCCTTTTTGATCAGAAAATGGTATGCAGAGAGTCATGAGCCCCTTCTTTCTGCATGCTGCAGTCCTAGTCTGAATTGCATGCCCAGGAACTGAAGTCTCAATTGGGAACTCAAATCTGATTAGAAATCCTTGTAGAGGACCTGGACACAACCCAAAAAAAGTGTGTAGTTAGGTCCTTACCTTCCTGAACTGAGGAAAGGTGAACATGAATTTTCCCTAAATGATAATTTACCATGTGGTGCTAGGGCTGCCAAATCCCCCCGGGGGGGCGGATTTCCCCCCGCTTTGGAGGCCCGATTTCCGCCACCACGGAATCGGGCCCCGGGGGAAACCCCACCCCGGCGTGCACGTCAGCCGGATGTGACGTGATGACGCCGGGCACATTTCCCCTGAAATGGCTGTGGCCCCGCCCCCAGCGTGCCCGGCGTCATCACATCACATCCGGCTGATGTGCATGCGGCGCACGCGCGCTTGGGACGCCGTCCGGGAGCCCCCCGTCACGAGGAGAAACAGGTCTGGCAACCCTATGTGGTGCATGTAACCACTTGATACAATGATCACCTGTGATATCCCGCCAAGTGGCTAGCTGGGTTTTACTATACATCTGCACCCAATCAGAATTCCAGGGGTAAAATTCTCCTTCGATAAGTAGACATCAGCAGTCCCAGTGGCAGTGAAATAGTGAAAGTACAATAAACGCTTAAAGTTCTGCTTCATTTGCCTATGCTCTGGTTTTCCAAGGATCTGTCTCCTCCTTCATCCTTGCAGATCCAGCAGCTGGAGGATCGGATGACTGGGCTTATGACCAAGGCATCAAGTATTCCTTCACCTTCGAGCTCCGTGACACAGGACGATATGGCTTTGCTCTTCCTGAATCTCAGATAAAGCCAACTTGTGAAGAAACCCTGATAGCCATTAAATATATTGCCAGCTATGTCCTTGATCATCTGTATTAAAACAGCAGCCCAGAATTATTAAAGAGAGCTTGGCTCACAGTTTCTCATTATTTTTTCCTGCTATGTCTTATTAAGGGAGGCTAGGGGTCAATGGATTCTTGAATCCTTCTCTTATATTTATTCTGATGGATTATTGAGAGATTCACGGGGGAGGGATCCCATATCCTCTCCCCATCACTGAGGTTGGCAAAACTCCAGGCCCCACCACCTACCACTCAGCTGACAGTGGCTGCCTGTGTCTTTCACCACTGATCCTGGGCCCATGGTGGCTACCGGTATCCACTGCCATGCCCAGGCCCACAGCAGTGTACAGAGTCTTCTGCTGTCTCTTGGGTCTGCAGCAGCTGCCTCTGCCACCAGGCCCAGCCCCAGAGGAGCATCCTTCTCTGTGGTGTCCTTCTGTGCATCAGCTGCCAGCAATGGTGGCCAGCAATTGCTGCGGGGCGGCTGTAGCAGAGAAGGATGCCGGTCACTGCTCCAGACCCAGAGCAGCAGCCGAAATCCTTCTACGTGCTGCAGCAGCTGCCAGTGTCCTCCTCTACTTCCTCCGTGCCCAGGCCTAAAGCAGTTGCCTGCAAAGCAGACCTAGAATGGCTCTCTAACTGCATTGTTCTGTGCATGTGCACACAACACCAGGGGTCATTTGGGGGGGGACGTGGGGGGACACCATCCCCCCGGGTGAGGTGCGGGAGGGTGGGGCCTGGAGCTCCCTGCTGGTGCCCGCTGGAGGTCGCCGCCGGCTGTGGGGAGGACACACTTCCGGTGATGTCAGGGGGTGTGGCATATGCTAATGAGTTATGCTAATGAGTCCCCCTAGCTCTTTTTCTATGAAATGACCCCTGCACAACACCATTCCATTTGGGGGTGATTTAAATTCCCCTTTTTAAAAAATGTATTCCAGATTTTTCTCCACACAAGAAAATCACCAATTTAGGCACAGAAATTGTGATGAAACCTCACAGAAGACCCCATAGAGAATCTAGTGCCAGCCAATGTACAGAGAATGGGTCTCCCAAATGAAGGCATACAGGTGAGGGGAATTTGGAACAGGGAAGCCCTAGGTGGGGAATAACACACACACACACACACACACGTCCACTTCTGCATTCTAAATTACCCCCTCCCAAGACAGTGTCTCTCTTTTTTTAAAAAAGTAACTTACTGAACTACCTGCCCTGATTATTGTACATAGTTCCTACTTAATTTTGATAACATTAAGTGAGAAACATGCTAGCTAGGCTCGAAGCTTCCTCCTATAAACACCAGGGAGTTTTTGATGTGAGGAATTAGTATTAAAATATGATTCCCTACCTAAATTCAGATATGGTATCATTCGTGGGGGGGGGGGATATACCACATTCCATTCTAAAAAGGCAAATTGGCCTTTCATGACAGTGATTTGTAGGCTATTAAAAATTCTACAAAGACCTTTTAAGCAGCAGACAAGAGTTGCAAATATATTTAGCACAGCTTTGTTCCAGTGCCCTAAAATTAGCAAGAGCAACCTCTGCTTCACATTAGAGCAGCAATCAGTAACTCATTCCAGCAGGCGGCAGCCAAGCGATGGTTACCTGCGATTCCAAATGCTGTTCATTGGCAGAGATGCAGCTAAGCACTTCCCAGCAACTTGAGCAGTGAGAAGTTAATGAGAAAGTGTTTTGATTCCTTTGGGATACATAGTGCTATTGAGACTTATGATGTCTTTGTACTATCAATTTATTGGCAAATATATAAGCAGAATAGTTTGGGAGGTGGGAACCAAATGATTCCTTTCAGAGGAAACAATAGTCTTGATTAGGTTCCCCAAAAGAACAACTGTCCACCAAAGATGCTCTAATTTTAAGACAATCCAGCTATTATTTATTATTTATTTATTTCATTTATACCCCTCCTTTCTCCTCAATGGGGACCCAAAGAAATATACATAATTCTCCTTTTCTCCATTTTATCATCACAATAACCCTGTGAGGTACGTTAGGCTGAGAGTGTGTGATTAGCCCAAGGTCACCCAGCAAGCTTCTATGGCAGAGTGGGGATTCAAGCGGGTACTCCCACATACTAGTTCAGCACTCTAACCACTGCACATCACTGTGGTGACTCAGTACAGTTTGACAAACTGTCTCTCAGTTCTTTACTCAGACTTTAGAGGGGATTATATTCCAAAGGATAAGGCCATCAAGAGAAAGTCAGCTCTCTGGGAAAATAGTAGTGATGGGCCCATTTCAGTAATAAATAGTCAAGAGGGTTAGAGGGGTGTAACTCTGTTTAGGATGTCACTGCAAAATACCCCCCCCCCCCAATAGCTTAACTATTCAGTTATTCATTTAGGCTTTTTAAGTCACACTTTTTTCCACAATGGGGATCCAAAGCAGTTTACAAAAATATAATTTAATTAAATAAACTGGAAAAACTGCAAGAAATTGCACTAAACAAAACAGAAATAGGATTCCCAGGCATTTCCCCCAGTCCCTACAATGCATCACAGCACAGCAGGGAAAAATGGGGGTATACTAGCATTGCACTAGCATACAACATCACTCCCAGCACTGTCATCATTCTTGATTGGGGGGGGGGGACTCTAGGTTAGAGTCTGGGGTGAATCCTAGGCCGTTGCCCCTGGCACGATGATGTCACTTCTGTTTGGAACCCAAAATGACAACGCATGACAGCCCAAAGCTGGTGCACCTCCCCACCTCCCCCATTGCTCCTGGGAGTTAGCTAGCTGTGGCTGGCAACCCTATATAATAAAGTCTACAGTGTGTTATAATTAAAAACATCCTAGGCTGAACCTGAATCCACTGAGCTGACTCACCCAAGATAACATGCTGCAAGCCATGGGCAAAAACAAATGTCCAAGACACCATTGATTTTTGTGGAAAGGTTTGTGCCTCTGGCTAAACCTAGACTTAGATGCCTGCAAACAGGAAGGAAAATAGAAACTCTGCCCATTTCTTGCCATTGCCCGCCTCTGCATCAGGGCCCTGGTATTGCTAGGTGGTCTCCCATCCAAACACTAAACAGGACCCATGGTGCTTAACTTATAAGATCTGATAAGATCAAGTTAGCCTGGGTTATCCAAGTCAAGGTGTGTCCTCAAGGGTTCCCAGCCCCTTTTGAGGCTGGAATTTTGCAATGTATGCCTTAAGAAACAAATTTCTTTCTTATAGAAGGAGGTCATCTAATAGAACATGTAACTGCACTGTCCTTATTACTTTAAGAAGTTCTTTCCCCTCTCTTTGGCCGTTCTCTACTGTTTGCTTATGCCTCTCCTGTTTTTTTTTGCTCGTTTAAAAGGAACCAGACAACCATCCTGCCTTCATTTACGTGTAGACTGCTTAGTTATGGTGGGAGGAGTTACAGCGCATTATTCTCTTTATATGGCCTTTTTACCCTTTTTAGCCTAGGATTGTTTCATGCCAGACAAATATTTCAGCCAGATTGGCTAGTAAGTGGTGCTGTGTTTTTTAACGCCATGTCAGTTGTAGATTTTGCTGCCAATCTAAGACAACATAATGGTGATTTTTAAAAAGAGAGAAAAGGCACCAGAACCTCAGACATTGGATTGGCACTCAGATCTTTTAGTGAATGAATAGCCCTGTCTGATTGTTGATTATGACGCCAGTTCTGTTATTTGTTTAAGCACTTAAGCACCCTATGGAGCTCCTTATCTCATTCATCTTTTCCAGATGACGCCTAGCCCATGTGAGTTTCTGTGCCCTTTTTTCACCCTTTAGGTTATCTTTATTATCATATTTTGCAGTTCTGAGGTTCTTGTAGAGTTGAAAAGTCGGTAAGTTTTTTAAACAAAATAAAATAAAGACACCATCCAATGAAGACACAAGAGGAAGTCAGCTGGGTGACTGTAGTATATGAAAGGGGGGTATATAAGGGGTAGAGATGAGGGGTTATGGCCAAAGCAGAATCATGAAGTTTCTGGTTTTCTTTTTAGGGCTCCTTGTGAGGCCTCAGGCTGTTTCTCTTGCGCGTCGCTTTGACAGGTAGATAGTTCTCAGAGAGGTAAACTGTTGGCAAAAAAATGTTGCCACAGGGCCGGTTCTTTGGTTTGTGCCTAAGCGCGGGTGTACAATCCACCAGTGTTCCCTCTAAGCTGAGTTAGTGTGAGCCAGCTTACAGTTTTTTAGCCTCTGGCTCACTCATTTTTGTCTTAGCTCAGGAAGGATGGCTCCAGAACAAAGTAATTTATGCAGCAGCCAAATCGCTCGCTCACAACTTTAGCGCCAGTAGCTCACGAAGTAGAGGTTTTTGCTCACAAGACTCCACAGCTTAGAGGGAGCACTGAATCCACTAGTCAGTTCTCCTTGCCAGCCCCACTGAAATAAATGGGGCTAGCCACAACAACACAATTCAGACTGCCTGATGTCAAAGAAAGGTCAGGTTTAAGAAATGAAGGTGGGGTTGGGGAGGGAAAGGCCAGAGTAAGTCCTACTTTAATCAAGCAATTCTTCCTGTTTAATTATTGAAGTGAAAAAGTGTTTCGTGTGACACCTCAGAATGAAACTCAAGTGAACTTTCTGAAGGAACTAGCTTCTGCTGTACAGGTAAGAGTATTCTATATATGTATCATATTTTCATTTTGATGTTCTTCCCTCTCCCCACCCCCACCCCCAGGTATTTTTGCAATTGTTTTTAATTTCAGAAATACATGCGTGGTTATTGGATAATGAGAATAATGTCATTACAAGACTGCTTCAGTATTGGCAAGTGCCAACTAGAAAGTCTCGTGAATTGCCAGCTGTCAAATACTAGATACCTTTGCAAGGACATTCAAATACTAAATATCCTGACCATGAAATGCTGTTAGATATCAACACTTATATCAAATGTCATCTGACATCATATATTCCGTTTTAGTCAATTTCTTGAAACCAGAATGTATGTACCGTATTCTACCCTTCCTCCAAGAACCATGAAACAGAATACCTGGTTTTGCACTCCTCCATGTTGTCCTTACAACAATACTGTGAGGTAGTCTAGGCTGGCATACAGCAACTAGCCCAATCGAATGAGTGCCATGGCTGAGAAGGGGGTTAAACTTCGGTCTTCCAGAATTGGCACTCTGTCCTCTGCATCACACTGCCTCTCTCATTCTTGTCTCTCTAGAGACAGGAAGTCTTGAGAATAATATTTGGGAAGATTATTACACCTGTGAAGATGAGAGACAGAGTACAACCAGCAATCACTAAGACACAATGTACCAAAAAAGGGGACATTAAGGAACAGTCCTTCCTACCTCATTTACTCTGCTTTATTATTGGGCAGCAGTGGCCACAGATTTTCCCATCAGCACTGCTTTTCTTCTATATGCATCACATTTACTGATAAGTTTCTTGTTCTTGCACACCTAGGGGAGGAAGGGAGGCAATTAAAACATTTGTGAGGGAGAGGAATGAAAGAGGGAAAATAACGGTTCTCTCTCCAGTGGTTGGAAATAAGTCTCTACCATTCCATTGACATAAATGCACCCATGCTTAATGACAGCCTATCCACATTTTTCTGCACAGCTTGACTTCTGGCATCCTGATTCAGTTCATCACATTGTCGCTGGGACAGACGTTGATTTCCAAGTCAGTTCATATCTGGCAAACCATGTTCAGATGAAGCTGGAGCAGAATGAGCTACAGTATGAGTAAGTGATATTTTATAACTTAATGGAGGTTCGGGCACATTGTGGATTCTCTGGGTTGTAATGATCTACACAGGCTATTTGGAGAAAGTAGCAGCAGTTTAATTCAAGATGTGAATGTCACCCAGACTGCATTAAACTGAGAAAGGCATTCTTGCCTGGAAAGGAGCTCTCCAGTAAATAAAACAAAAACATCTATATAAGGTTTTCCAAGTGTGCCCCCATCTGCAGATATCTAAACCAGCAGATTGGGGGCACACTTACCCCAAACAGATTTTTCTACAAACTTGAGGGACCCCCTAAATTTGCAGAAAAATCTTAAATCTTTTTTAAAAAATGCACAGGGTAATTCCTCCCAAAGTAATGCAGCAGCATAGACAATACACCCACCTCTGAGGGCCCCAGCTGCTGCTGCTCCTGTGGCGGCTGCAGTAGCAGCAGCACCCAGCAGCATCTGCTGTGGTAGTGGAGCCTGGCCACAGTAGAGCTCAGGAGCTGCCACCAGGCCCAGCCATGGTGGACACTGGAAGCTGCTGCAAGCCATGGTGGAAGCCAGGAGCTGTTCCAGGCCCAGCCACTGCCAAGAACTGCTCTGGGCTTGGGGCAGCTCCCAGGTACTGGTACTGCTGTTGGGCTCAAAGGCAGAGAAAAAGAAGAAGGGGGGGAGAAAGAGAAAGAAGAGGGGATTTGCTTGGGGGAAGAGAGAAAGAGAAAGAAGGGGAATTGACTTGAGGGGAGAGAAAGAAGGGGGATTTGCTTTGGGGGTAGAGAGAAAAAGAAGGGGGATTGTCTTGAGAGGAGAGAGAGAAAGAAGGTGAATTGTCATGGAGGAGAAAGAAGGGGGAGAAAGAAGGGGGATTGTCTTGGGGGAGAGAGAAAGAGAAAGAAGGGGGATTGTCTGAGGGAAAGGGGGAATAAAGATGAAAGGGAAGGTTGGGGGAGACAGAATGAGAGGGACCTGTTAAGAAGGGGGGGGGGAAATGGAGACATTGTCTGAGAAGAGCAGGGCTAAAAGAGGGCCAGATTGACATAAAAGGATGAGGGGAGAAGGGGGTAAGAGAGGATTGCTAGAGAAAAAAAGAAAGAAAGAAAGAAAGAAAGAAAGAAAGAAAGAAAGAAAGAAAGAAAGAAAGAAAGAAAGAAAGAAAGAAAGAAAGAAAGAAAGAAAGAAAGAAAGAAAGAGGGGATGGGATACCCTGGAGGCTACTGAGGAACTGATCTCTGTAGTCTGGAGATCAGATGTAATTTGAGGAGAACTCCAAGCCCCACCTTGAGACTGGTAACCCTACCCATAGGCAGAAGGGGGTTGTAGCACTCTTAGAAAGGAGCTTGAAGGCCAACAGCCCTGACTACAACATAGAAAGAAGTCTGCTCTCTTGTGCTGTACGGCTGCTTCATCCCCAGCTCAGCAGACTGGCAGCAAAGCATTATGGCTCTCATTAGAACAGCAATGTGTTAGGCGTTGGAGTAGATTTGTGGCACACATGCTATAAAAAGAACAGCCGCCACCACTAATGTATGAAAATTAATTATCTCATCCTTCGCAGTTTAAAATAGCTTTATAAAAACACATGAATTATCACATCATTTTAAATGTAGTGTTTTTTTAATATTCAGCCTGAATATAGGGGAAACAAACTTTGCGTGCTGGAATTTATTTACTGCATTTTTATCCCACCTTTCCTCCAAGGAGCTGAAGGTGGCGTATGAGACTATCCTCCATTTTATCCTCATAGCAACCTAGGGTTGCCACACACCCCAGTGGAGGCGGGGGTCCTCCACCATCAGACCCTACCCCCAGCGCCAGCCACTAATCAGCTGCCAGTCTGGGGGACTTACCAAGAGAAAGGAAAAGGCCTTGGCCTTGTGACCAGCATCATATAGGAAATGATATCATCACACCAGTGACTTCCAGGTGACACTCTGGTATTTGGGCAAAAACTCTATGGTATTTATTTATTTATATTTATTTATTTATTTATTTATTCAGGTATTTCTACCCCGCCCTACCCCGCAAGCGGGCTCAGGGCAGCTTACAAAGGCATAAGCCCATACATAAAATTTATAAAATCCGCTGGTCTTGCTGTCATATAGATGGCGCCGGGCTATCAAGGACACTCCAACTTGATGGTAGAAGCTGGTTTTACCATAGAGTTTTTGCCCAATACCAGAGTGCCACCCAGATGTCACTGGCATGATGATGTCACTTCCTGTGCAACACTGGTGATGAGGCCGAGGTCCTTCTCTTTCTTCCCATCCCTGGCACCCTGGCAACCCTATAACAACCCTATAACAACCCTGTGAGGTTGTGTAGGCTGAGAGAATGTGTCTGGTCCAAGGTCACCCAGCAATCAAGTGGGGTTCAAACCTGGGTTAAACCTAGTCTGGCACTCTAACCACTACACTACTCTGGCTCTCCAAATGGCCTATAAATCAGTTATCATATATGGGATTGTGTGGGGATGCAAGGATGCTGTGACATCCTCATCATTCTAGAAGTTGTAATAAATTTACAAGCCAAAAATAAGCCATATATTTCTTTCTTTTATACCATCCCCATCCATAATGCTTTATAGAGAAGTGAGGGCAAAAGAACAGAGCCCTGCCCTGAGGTGGGAAGCAACAGAGGGACGGTAGGACAAGGAAAGACAAGACAGTAAGGAATGAATATGAACAGGTGTAACTTTTTTATTTCATGCTTCCTCCAAGGAGCTTCACATAGCATACATCATTCTCTTCTCGCCCTGCCCCTATTTTATCTTCATAACAACCTTGAATGGTAGGTTAGTCTGAGATATAGTGTCTGGCCCAAAATCACCAAGTGATTTTATGGCAGCCTGGGCATTTGAGTCTCCCAGATAGGGTTACCTACCTTAAGGTGAGGCCTGGAGTTCTCCCAGAATTATAACTATTCTCCAGACTACAGAGGTCAGTCCCCTTGGAGGATAAGGCAGCTTTGGAGGGTGGAGTGTATGATATACCATAGAATCTGGGAGAAGCAGAAGTCCTAGAGTGACATCACAACCTCACTGAGCTCCCTCCCCTTCCCCAAACACCGCACTCCCTAGGCATCACCCCCAAATCTCCAGGAATTTCCCAAGATTGACTTGCCAACTCTACTCCCAGGTCCCAGCCCAGCCCTCTATCCACTTCCCCACACTCGTTCTCCTTTCATTAGCATCATGTGTACTTATGATTTGCTTTATGACGAAGCCAAAGATTCATGGAGCAGGCAAGTCCTGAAGGGCAACTTGTAGTATCTAAATGTTCTAGGTGTTTTTTTCCCCTGTAACAGAATTTTATTCCACAATCTACAAGAAGAGATTGAAAAGCAATTTAAAGGAAAGAGCTATTTCCTCAAGAAGCACAGCTACTTAAAATACAATGACTGGGATAAGGTAAGGTAGTGCAGTTTGGTTGGTTTGTTAGTTTTTCATTGCATACAAGCAACAGAAGCATTGCTTAAGTCACATTTAGTTATTTCAAATATCTCAATCAAGAATGTTTTACTGTCTGATTATTATTCTGCAACCCTTAGATTGTTGCATGGACTGAAAGAATTGCTAGAAATAATCCCAAAATGGTCTCCCGAATTGAGATTGGAAAGACCTATGAAGGGCGTCCCATGTATCTTCTAAAGGTATGAAGGCAAAAATTATAATAATTGGTCTATTTACAAGGAAAGTACATCAAGGAAGTGGTGGGTGCTACAAGCATGGACGGCTTCAAAAGGGAATTAGATAAGCATATGGAGCAGAGGTCCATCAGTGGCTATTAGCCACAAGGTATAGCTAGGGGCTCTGGGGCAAGTGATGCTCTGTCTTCTTGGTGCTTGGGGGGTGGGGTCAACAGTGGGAGGGCTTCTAATGTCCTGGCCCCACTGCTGGACCTCCTGATGGCACTGGTATTTCTGGCCACTGTGTGACACAGAGTGTTGGACTGGATGGGCCTTTGGCCTGATCCAACATTGGCGTCTCTTATGTTCTTATGTTCTTAAGGAAGTGACTTAAGAAACATTCATGTTATCTTCTTTCTTTTTTTTGGTAAACAAATTTTATTTTCTTAGGAATTCAACATTCATAATTAAATCATTTCATCTTTTCCATTGTCTACCCCATTCCCATTTCCTCCCCTCCCTCCGGTGGCTTCCCGCAATGCTTCACCCCTTACCCCACGTTACTTTACATCATTAATTATATCATTTTCTTATCATTACAGTCTCAAGATAACATCATTTGACTTAATATTGATCTAAACATATTAAGTTTTGTTTTACATCCCAGTTCTTTTCCAGATATGTTTTAAAGTCACTCCATTCTTGAAAAAACACGTCGTCTTCTTTATTATTCAACTTTTTCGTGATTTTGTCCATTTCTGCCATGAACAGAACTTTTTGTATCCAGTCTTCGATTTCTGGCACTTTCTCTGTTTTCCAATTCATGTTATCTTCTTGTAATGGTAACAGTCAGGTCAATTGGATCTATGCCATATATTTATAGCTACCTCGTAGATATTTGTGTGGAGAGGTGAGGTACAGGTATTTAAAAATAAGTAAATTAAAACAAATCTGTATTGAAATATGAGGGATGTATTATTCAAAGAATAATTTACAGATATTCCCCAAGTGCATTAGCTAGTTGCTATCAGTGTCCATAGGTTACCCACTCCTTCCATTTGACACCCTCTGAAGTCATCATGTCCACCATGTCTTTCATAGACACTGAAGAAGCTATGTTTGTGCATAATTGATGTGATTAAAAAATGTCTAATAAGCAAATGTTTCCTGGTAACAGGTTGGGAAGGAGACTGGCAGAAAGAGAGTCATCTTCATAGAATGTGGCACTCATGCACGAGAGTGGATCTCACCAGCTTTCTGCCAATGGTTTGTGAAACAGGTTGGTATATGTATGCAAATGCTCTATTGCCAATCCTCTCTGCAACTCACTCACCCAGTAATGTCTTATGTATGTTACTATTACTGCTGCTCTATAAATTCTTAGGTCGCCAAATGGCGGGGGGGGGGGGAGGTCATGTCTCTTTAACCAAGGTATAATAGTCAGAAATGGGCTGTCAGAATTTTCCATTGAATGGCGCTAAATAGGTCCTTAAGGACTGCCTGCTCCCTTAAAAACCTACACAGCCACTGTGGTCATTTTCAAGCACCCCCAGCTTCTGAGGTTAGATATGTAGCAGCTCTAGGGAGCAGGAAACGTAGCTACAGTGGGGCATCTTGGGGCGAGCCCCCCCCCAACTTACTGTCCAGGCCTCCCAACTTCCATCCAGCTGGGGGGGGTTCACATGCACCACAGCCTTGCCACACTGAGCCATCACCCTGCCACGCCTGCCAGTGCCCTTGCCCGCCCGCCCCCCCACTCTCATCACTTTTTTAAACTTTTACTCTCTTGTCACTCCTGACACAGCCTGGGTGTGTGTTTGTGTGTGTGTCCCTGACTTATTTAAATGCCCCCTGGAGTAAAAAAAATCCTCGCTATGGCCCTGCTAGAGAGGGCCTTCTCACTTGTGGCACCAAGATCATGGAACACCCTCCCGAAGGATATTTGTCTGCCCTCCTCTATCACTGCCTGTCAAGGATGGGCAAGTGGGTGTCAACATGGCAAATGGGGTTCAATGTGGCCAAGTGCAAGGTGATGCACATTGGAGCCAAAAATCCTAACTATAAATACACATTGATGGGGTCTGAACTGGCAGACACTGATCAAGAGAGAGATCTTGGAGTTGTAGTAGATAACTCACTGAAAATGTCGAGACAGTGTGTGACTGCAATAAAGAAGGCCAATGCTATGCTGGGGATTATTAGGAAGGGTACTGAAAACAGATCAGCCAATATCATAATGCCGCTATATAAATCAATGGTGCGACCTCATCTGGAATACTGTGTGCAATTCTGGTCACCACACCTTAAAAAGGATATTATAGCTTTGGAAAAAGTGCAGAAAAGAGCAACTCGAATGATAAAAGGGTTGGAACACTTTCCCTATGAGGAAAGGTTAAAGCGCTTAGGGCTCTTTAGCTTGGAGAAAAGACGACTGAGGGGTGACATGATAGCCCTCACCTGGAGATTGGCAGCAATTGTTACCCAGGACAAAATGGCTGGTTTGGAGGGTGGAGTTGGCAACCCCATCTCCTTCCCAGCTAACCATCAACCTACCATTATCTGCCCCTTTGACTTCAGCTGACTTCTGCCCTCCCTTCTGCAGAGCAGTTGTAATTCTGAGTGCTCTCCAGCCCTCACCTGGAGATTGGCAACAATGGTTCCCTATGAGGGACTGACTGGCTTGGTGGGTTGAGTCTATGGCATTGTACCTGTCTGAGGTCCCACCCCTCCTCAAA